CTAACAGTTTATCCAGGTTTACGAAAATGTCCCTTACACCCGCAAACCCGCACGTTTCATCTGCTTATTTTGCTACCTGTGCAGAGATTTCATAGGGCGGTACGAGGCCGCGTAGACCTACATTCACTCCGACGCCGCTACTTACTACTATATTCCTTTGAAGTACCATCTATTAAGTTCTTCTTGTGTACGGACCACTTTACATGCGCTTGCGTGATTTTCATACAGTCTATAAAGGTAGATTCTATTTTTGCTGTATCTTACTGTGCAGAAATTGAGGCTTGCTAGTAATATTTGTGATAATGAAAATGATGACGGTATTATTGGGTCCCAACTCTATGCCAGGTGCTGTGCTGGGCCCTTGGTATACATTACAAACAGTACCAGAATTTAAGTAACTGGCCTGTTATCTACCTAATCTCTACAAAAGTTGGATTTCAAATTCAGGTCAGATATTAAAACAACTCGGGATTTACCTCTTTAAGCCTCATTTCTTTGGTAACTGGGAGTACATTAACTTCCTCACAAGGTGTTCTGAAATTCAGAAAGGTGGCCTATGACATTATCTTGGCCTTTTAGCATGAGAAATACTTCCTGCCACATATCATTTATTCATTTCTTGAAAGACAGTTTTTTATTTGCTTTTTATTTATTTTTATTCATTTATTTTAATCCTCACTCAAGGATATTTTTCTATTTATCTTCAGATAGAGTGGGAGACAGGGAGAGGAAGAGAGAGAAACATCAACGTGAGAGGGTCACATCCACTGGTTGCCTCCCACACAACCCCAACCAGGGCTGGAATGAACTGCAACCGAACTACATGTCCTTGACTGGAATCGAACCCGTGAGCCTTTGGTCTGTGAGTCGGTGCTCTAACCACTGAGCAAAACCGGCCAGGACTTGTTTGTTTTTTTAAAAAACTCTTCCTTTCCTTTTCTCCAGGTTTATATTCCCCAGACTAAATACCCCTAGTTCCTTCAGTCTTTGGTCATTCAACAAATATGTATGAACTCTGCCCTACTGGAACTTACATTCTAGACCGGAAACAGACAATACACTATACCCATGGTAACCAAGCAGATAATCTATTATGTGAGAAGACAGTGAGTGTCTGGTGGTCAGGGGGTGGTCAGGGGTGGGCGAGGCCTGCAGGGTAAGTGAAATCAGGAGGTCGGCAGTGGGCGGTGCATCATTTACTATGTAACCAGTTATCCCCAAAACTTAGTGGCTAAAGCAACAATGACTCTTATTTCTCATGGTTTCTAGAGTTCAGATGTTCAGACAAGACGGTGGGGATGGCTTATCTCTGCTCCACGGCCTTGGGCTTTACTTAGAAGAGGTTAAAGATGCTCCGGAGTCATCTAAAAGCTCATTTACTCACTTGTCTGGTAATTGACCCTGGTGGTCAGCTGGAGTCCTCATTTCTTCTCCATTATGGCCTTTTCCATGTGGCCTGGGCTTCTCACCACGTGGATGCTGGGCTCCCAGGGTGAGAAAGCCAGGTTGAAGCCATGTCACCTTTTATGACCTAACCCGGAGGCCAGACAGCATGATTTCCACCATATTCTGTTGGTGAAGGCAATTTCAAAGTTCGAGGAGAAGGAAAATGGACCCCACCTGTCAGTGAAGAAGTGTCAATGTTATGCCATAAGAAGAGTTGGTGGGATGGAATACATAGTAGTATTGCCATCTTTGGGGAAAAAAAACAGTCTGCCATGGTAGGTAGGATAGGTTCACTGATAGGGTGACATTTGAAAAATGATACAAGGAGGTAGGAGAGTGAGCCATATGCCTATTGTCTATCTGGGGCAGAGCATTCCAGGCTGCGGCAAGAGCCTGTGCAAAGGCCCTGAGGTAGGAGTGTATGAGGAGTATTTGGAGGTCAGTATGGCTGGATCAGAGTGATCGAAGAGGAGAAGAGTAGGAAAGGTAGTCTCAGATACGAGGGAGGTATGTGTCAGGACTTACAGGCCATTGTAAGTATTCTGTCTTTTACTATGAGATGAGAAGCAAAATGCAGGGTCTTGAGCAGTTATGTTTTACAAGGATCACTCTGGCTACCGGGTAGAGAATAGATTGGGTGGCTGGGGAGGTAAAACAAAAGGGAGACTGTCGCCGTCATCAAGGCAAGAGAAGCTAGTGGCTCAGACCAACATGGAAGCAGTAACGATGGTGGGAGGTGGTTGGATCGTAGATCTATCTTGAAGTTAGAGCCAACAGGATTTCCTGAGGGGCTGGACGTGTGGTGTGAGAAGGGGAGCCATGGATTTCCAGGCCATTTTCTGAAACAAGGCAGGCGGAAGGCTTACAGCTTTTCAGGAAATGATCAGAAATTCGATTTTAGAGATGGACGTTTGAGATATCTACCAGCTATCCACATGGAATTGCTGGAGAGGTGGTTGAACGAATAAACATAGAATTCCGGAGTGAGGGCTGAGCTGGAAATAAAAGTCAGGAATCAAAGGTGTAACAATGTTATTAAAACTGTGATCCCAGAAGAAAACAGGAAGAGATTGCGTGTAGGAGTGAAGGGCACCAGGACTGAGCCCTGCGGCGCCCCCTACCCCCTGCCCCCAGAGGCTGGGGAGAAGAACACTAGAAAGGAATGTCCTGGCCGCCTCGAAAAGAAAGTGCACCAGGAGGAAGCGTGTACTCGTGTACTCGGTGCTCTGAGAGGTCAAGGAAGGTGTGGCCGAGCGAGCACCTTCCGTGTAGCACGCTGAGGGTGGTGGTAGCCTTGACAACAGAGTCAGAGGAGTGGTGGGAACCAGCTTACAGGGATGGGAGGGGAGGTTAGAGAAAGCAAGTATACACACTTCCCCTGAGTTTCACTGCAGAGGTGAGCAAGCAAACAGAACAGTAGCTGGCTGGGGAAGAAGAATCAAGAGGATATGTGTTTCGGTTTTTAAATTGGGAGACATAACAGCGCGTTTGTATGCACTGGAGATGATCTACCAGAGTGGGAAACCGACATTGCCGGGGAGAGGGAGCGGGAGAGATGGGGGAGGGGAAGAAACCCTGCGGTGCCGTCTTTGGCCATGTCCTTCATAGGCCTTCATTTCAAGGACCCTCCCTTTCCTCTTCCGCAGGGTCTCTGTTGGGGGAGTATGTGGGCACGGGTAGCAGAGACAAGGAGGAAGCCAGCAGGCTGCTACCTTTTCTAAGTGGCCTTTCCATAGCTTCTTCCTCTCCTCTCTTCTCCACTCTGTCCCCCCATTTGACTGGGAACCCCACCCGGTGGGGGAGTGGGAACCAGAGAGAACACCCAGTCCTTTGCCTCTGGACAAAAGAATCCCCTGGTCAGTGGAGAAACACCACCTTTCGGCTTTGGATCACCATCTTCCCCCTTCTTTCCAACTCTCCAAGACAGAGGCAGCCCGGCTGGAAAGCGGTGAGGGTCACCGAGCACAGGAGTAGATGTCAGAAGAATGGGATGCGGACACACGGGGCCGGACGAGTCACTGTCCTTCAGGGAAAGAGCCTCAGAGAGAAACGAGAGCTGGCGCCGGACTCATCAATGAGCAATTCTGCTTCCCCTTTAACTGTAGGAGGAAGAGGGGCACTAAAGTCATGAAAACACTTTCTTCCGAGTTTTCTTTTTGTGGATGGGCACGAGCACTGTGGAAAGTGCCCTTGTGCTTTTTATCGTCCTTCAACTGAGTGGCCGTGGAGTGCCTGACCTTTGGCACATGGGGTTGGGACTGTGGGGGCGTCTCTCCATCAAGCTCTCTGACTCCTCACCCACCCCGTTCCTCTGCACTGCACTCTTGTGCAACTGAGTTTCAGTTTTATGGCTCAGAAAAATCTAAGCTTTGAAGTCATTATTCTTGGCTCTATTTGTACAGGGGCGATTTGGTAGCTCAGGGGATTTGTCAAAAGCGTGATGATTGCTGACACAAAATGAGAACGAACTTTTCCAGATCACCCCAAGGATTGGGGGGATGTGGTGGGAGGAGGTGCAGACAATGCCGATTTTGTCTGTCTGACCTGCCTCTCCTGTGACCTGTTGGGAAGTGGGTGAGAATACTGGACGGATCGTAAGGTTTTGATCTGCAGAATAGTCATGGGAGTCCACGTGTTTTAAGCAGCAGCTCAAATGTTTAACGACATTTGATAAGGAAATTGGGTTTTTCCGAACGAGAGTGTGAAAACACTGAGAATTAATCCAGAAATGAGTATATTCACAGTCCACGAGACACCTTCCTCTGTCTGGGTTGCCTGGTGTTCTCCCTCTCCGCTAGGCTGAGGGTCGTGTTGTACGTGTTACAGAAGGTGTGAGCGAGGGGAGCTGTGATGTAAACAGCCAGTGTTATTAGTGATGTGGCAACCTTGCCCCTCCTGGTGCCTCTCACCCCTCGCACTTGCCCATGAATGGCATTTTGTGCGGAGAGACCACCCGGCACAACAAGCCCGTTTTCCACGGAGCAGCCCGTGTTCTCAGCCCTCCGCGCCCTGGTGGACGTGTTCTGATTTGGTGTTACATTTCTGAAGCCCGTGTGATTTACTCCCCCTGCTCCGGGCGTGTGTTTTTCTTCCACAAGCACGTACGGAGCACGCCTCGCCTGGTCACCGCCTGGCTCTCCATCAGACTGCTCTGGCTTTTACAAGGTGTTGGAATTTCCACATAACTCATAAGGGCTCTCTCACTCGAGTTTATACGGGAGAAATTATGGAGTGATTAACCTAATAGGTACTGTTTATCCCTAAAGACGGCCAGCTTTATTCATGCTTAAGCTGAGTGTTTGTGGGTAACAAACAATTCTTTGTAAATCTCCATGGCGGAACCAGGCACTTTTACGGCTTTTTTCTGCTGTATAAATGATTGGGTAGCTCATTAAGTTGACTCTTGTAGTTGAGGGCTGCTCCAGGCACACGGAGGATGGAAGGGAACTCGTAGCCTTCCACGAGACTAGGAGGGGCTTTAAGAGAGGAGAACCTAGCATGCGTGATGGTGCCCTGCTTCCCCCTCACTGTTCATTTCTGCATTTTCCCTCCAGAGCTGCCCAGAAGTTAAACCTGTCTTCTAAGAAGAAGAAACATCGACCTTCTACTTCTGTCGCTGAGCCGCCACTCTTTGCCACCAGCTTCAGTGGCATTCTGCAGACCTCCCCTCCCCCGGCCCCGCCCTGTCTGCTGAGGGCCGTCAACAAGGTGAAGGACACCCCAGGCCTGGGCAAGGTAGGCACCTCCGCCGGCTCCACCCTTGGCTCGGGGCGTGGCGTTGTCTTGGGGGAAAGAAGGGAATCAGGGCTTCGGTGTATTTGTTTAAAACAGGAGGTGATAGGGAGAAAAGGAGACAAAATGAAATTCACTTGGAAGTCCTGTAACATGTTCTTTGATCACATATACTAACTAGTAAATTAAGACATTCCAGTTATTGGAGATCTGATATGGTTTTGGCACCAATAAAACATTGCCTTGTTGGGGAGAATGGTAACCCTTTAAAGAAAAGACACAAAAGACGGAAGGCAGAGTCAGGAGACCACGAGGAGGCACAGTGCAGGAATAAGACGTAAGGATGCTTCGTAAATTCATGGCAACCCGTTCGTTTTTTCTCCTCTTCAGAGAAAACACAACACTTGCTTTTGGCCCCGACTACTGATGGGATTTCTGGGGAGCCTTTTCGGTTGTGCTGTTCGGGCCAAGAAATGCAATTTTGAATCATGACAAGCGCTTAGAAAGAGATGCAGGAACAGTTTCGAGATGTTGCCCAGCTATGTTTGGGATCACTTCGTTCTCGGGCCCAGTCTCTCTTCTGATAAACGGCTGGGTGAAGCAACTGTGGTTTAGTCTTCAACTGGGAAATGAGCCGAGAGAGATGAAACATTCAGCCGAAGAGCGGTGGCTGTTTTATTTCTTTTATTTCCAGCCTGATAGGTCAGTGCCAGCTTGACACGAGGCGCCCGGGCTTCGTGTGGGAATGCTGCCGGTCCTGCCGAGGGGTTGCTGCTGATGTAGGCGGACGGAGCTTGTTTATTTCCGCCACTGATGCTCTTTCCCTGTGACCCCCAAACATGGTTATTCCCGGGTTCACGGTCTTCGGGGGCCTCAGCCTGAGTCAGCGGTCCTTCTGGGGTTCACCTGGTGCCCTCTGCCCGGCTCCCTTTGTGGTTCTCTCCTTTCTCAGTTTCTCCTGTCTCCTCCCATGCGCTCCCATCCCCAATTTCACCGCCTCTTTGGGAAGATAGTAACTTGCTGTTTCCCTTTCCAACAGTGTCTCAATTTTAAGATTATGTTGAATAGATTGCTCTAATGGATTACTCTAGGGTCTTCTGTCCCCACCTTCCGCCATCCCTAAGCACCACTCCCCGCCCCCCCCCCCCGACCCTGGAATTCTGGGACAAGGGGCTCAGGGAGCCAAGCCAGGGTCTGAACCAGCAGAACGAGTGTGATCAGCCAGGAGGAGGACCCAGCCCCCACACCAAAACAGTTTGGAGGACACTGATTCAGTCTTCGTTCCAGGATGTCCCATAGGTAGTGACCAGACATAAGTGTAATTATAAATAGGATGAGCAGGTAAGAGTCCAGGTACAACCGTAATGAGTATTACAGTCGATAGTAAACTACAGCTTGCAAATCATACAGTTATTATTTGTTTTTTATCCTCACCTGAGGACATTTCTTCATTTTTTTTGTGCAGATAGGGAGGGAGGGAGAGAGAGGAAGAGAGAGAGAGAGAAACATCCATGTGAAAGGGACACATCGAGGGGCTGCCACCCACACGACCAACCAGGGCCGGGGACAAACTGCAACTGAGGTACGCGCCCTTAGCGGAAACTGAACCCGGGTCTCTCTGGACCACAGGCCGATGCTCTAACCGCTGAGCCAAACTGGCCAGGGCCAGTTATTGTTTTTTTTTAATGGAAGAGATTCCCCCTCTCATTCATTTGCCATCCAGTGCTTTTCATTTATTTATTTATTTTCTTTAAATGACAATGATATTGTAATGTTATAGTGATAACCCACAACTTGTTTTATTTATTTATTTATTTTAGTACGTGCCCCTAGCGGGAACCGAACCTGGGACTCTGGTCTGCAGGCCAATGCTCCAACCGCTGAGCCAAACCGGCCAGGGCTCTCCAGTGCTTTTTAGAGTGGGAGAGAAAGGGGTGACATTAACCAGGCAGGAATGGCAGGAAGCCCTGAGTTTGTCCACGGCAGTGTCATGGATGGGGTCATCAGGCTGGGGGTCACAGAGATGACGGGAAGGGTGACTTCTGTCCCACCAGTGGCCGCATGGCAGCTGAGCAGGGAGGGCAGACGGCGGGGGGAGGAGGTGGCAGTGGAGGGCGTGCCCTCTGGAGACGAGTGATCATATACTCGGTGCCTTGGGATTGAGACTTAGCACACAGCCATCCGGCCTCCTGATGCTGCAAGGCCTGTACTCTGCCGTAGGGGGCGCCCATGTCCTGGACTCATGCTCCCCCTCCCCAATCTCACTCTAATTACGAAATGAGGGCTACCATTCTCTTTACCCGTTTGGAAAAATTCCCATCTAGTCATGGGAATTTTACATATTAACATCTCCAAGAAATACAGCGGAGGTTAGTGTAGAGCGTATGTAATCCACGCTATGACGTTGATGAGCTTGACTGAATTTCCAAAAGCAACCTGAACTGGGGCCTCCTGAGGTGGGGGCCAGCTCGTGCCCCCACCGCCCGAGGACCTCCTCGGGAAACCTGGCCGGTTTTCACGGGTATGGAAGGGCTTTTATGGGTGTATTTAGAGCTCCCCTCTCATTAAGGAGACAGGAAAACTGAGGCCCAGAGAAGGTAAGAGATGTCTCCCGAGCCTTCGGAATCAAACCAAGAAGTCATTTTATTTTCTGCTGTCTCACTGGGCTGCCACGAGATCTACATGACCTTTAAAAGTTTGGGGTGGAGCCTGGCCAGTGTGGCTCAGTGGACGGCGCATCATCTCATGGACTAAGAGGTTCTAGTTCGATTCCCAGTCCGGGCATGTGACCGGGTGTCAGGCCTGAGCCCCACTGGAGGGCAGGCAGAAAGCAGCTGATTAATGTTTCTCTCTCATCAATGTTTCTCTCTCTCCCTTCCTCTCTCTCTAAAAAAAAGATAAAAACATATTTTAAAACACATTTTAGGGTGGAGATAAGTGTGTCATAGGGCCCTAATGAGAGCAAACTAACACTGGGAACCAGTTGCCTTCATCCAGTGGAGGAGGATATGTGTGCCTTTTCAGAGTCACAGTTGGGAGAGACAGGGCAGGAATAGGCAAAAGTAACCACAGAGAGGGATCAGGGCACTCCATTTCGTCCCTCCCCTGGGTCCCACTCCCTGCTATTTCCAGGGGCAACTCCCCCCACCCTCACTCAGAGTCATTGCTGGGCACTGAGCACTCCTCAGCACCTAAGCAGACCTTGGCACACAGCAGGACCTGGGGCGTGTCAGGCACCCATGCTGGGCACTGGGCTTGCAGTCATGGACAGATGAGACAGAATCCCTCCCTTACAATGCTGTAATCTGGTGCATCATTCCAATTCATCTTGGATCTCTCGCCCCCACCTGTACAGTATGAAGGACAATTTGATTTAAGGAAAAGTTGGAATTACAGACTTAAAATAATTCTGCCTAACTTGGAAATTATATAACAAAACTATACAACTAAGGGGCCTTGTAAAGACATCCTTAATGAATAGATAAAGATGATTAGTGGATCAAAGTAGCTTAGTCCCTGTTAATATTTCATTGGTGTGGCTTATATGTAAATGGTACTTCTAATCTGTTTGAAAATGGTTCCTTCTCCTAAGTCAGTAACCGCTCTTAGTGAAATTTGTTTGCACAATTAATTAACATCCATGTTTAAGGTTCATTTGTTAGTGTGTCACAGCTTAGTCAGAGCACTACGTCTTGGATTGTGAATTTCCAGAGCAACTGACATTATCTGTTTCATTCACTCAGTCTATGACTCTAGCCATGCCACGGGTAAATAACCCCTTTTATTTATTTATTTTTAATTTAATTTTCAGCAATAGTTGATATATACAGTGTTATATTACTTACTATTTTCAGGTATACAACATAGTAATTAGACATTTACGTACCTTACAAAGTGAATATTACTCAGCCTTAAAAAGAAATGAATACTTACCATTAACGACAACATGGATGGACTTGGGGTATCATGCTAAGTGAATTAAGTCAGTCAGAGACAAATACCATATGATTTTGCTTATATGTGGAATATAAACAAAATAAATGAACAAACAAAACAAACTCATAACACTTTTAGTGGTAAGAATGGTGCAGTGATGGGGAAACCGTGTTGGTGATGACAGTCCACCTGTGCGTTGGCTGATTCTCCTCTTCCCAGAAGAATATTGGAAGATAGTCTCTTCATAATAATTCCCTCATAATCTAGGAGTGTCACAAAAGGATGGAATGGTCAGCATCCAACCTCCCCCCCCTCAAATGTGTTTTGGGGGTACAGGAAAACTCTTGCTGGTGAGTGCCAGCAGCAAGAGAACAGACTCTGGAATTTGGAAAGCTGGGTGGAGATGGGCAAAGGGGAGCATGGGGGACATCTGTAATAGTGTCAACAATATAAACAAAGTAAAGCCCGGCCAGTGTGGCTCAGTGGTTGAGCATGACCCTGCACCAAGAGGTCACCAGTTCGATTCCTAGTCAGGGCACATGCCCAGGTTGTGGACCAAATCCCCAGTGGGGGGCATGCAGGAGGCAGCCAATCGATCTTCTCAGCGATGTTTCTAACTCTCCCTTTCTCTCTCTCTCTCTCTAATATCAATAAAGAAAAAAAACAAAACAAAAACAACAAAGTAAAAAAAAAAATTGATGGAGCAAACATGAAGAGGAATTATGGGAAATGAAGCTGGGGACAGGTTGGGGAGAACTTGCCATTCTCAGTTCATTCAGTGAATATCTACAGATGCACTGTGTTCCAGGTCCTGCAGCAGGGGTCACTGCAGGGGACAGTACATAGGTGCTGATTGGCTGCTTTGGGCCACATCTCTGCAAAGGAAGAGGGGATTTCCTAATCTCCATAATCCATAACTCTAAATCCCCACGACACGTTTGCCTGGTATTCAGCCTCAGTCACCACTCCTGTGCCAAACGGTGTTCCCTTCTCCTGGGGTCCCCGCTGAGCCTAGTCTGGGCTGAAGAAGGATGTGTGTGGTATCCTTATGGTGGATCCCAACTGCC